CAGTCGCGAACGTAAATAATTCAATTTATAAGAATTTGTACATATAATATATATTCGATACCAGATGAATAATGTTCTGTTTTCTCTACATTCCACTTTATTTTACATTAACCTTTTTCTTTAATACGTCAATACAAACATATTACGTCACATACAGTAACCAATGAATAATTAATTAAGACTGAAAGCAAATACTATAATAAATCCAGCACTTTTGAAACATAGTGTCTTAGATTTTTCAGTTTCGTATCGATAGCAGACAGATGGGATAAACAAATGTTTTGAATCTGTCTTAAGTAACTGAATATGATAATGTAAAGCATTATAAGACATCAAAATCACAAGACAATAAACAAATATTGAGCAACTCGATAACTGCTAATAAAGGCGTGTCAGTAAACTAGAAAAGGTGTATAAGAACAGAAAACACTTTTTCCAAAGCACAAAAACAATTGAACTTCCAACAAATATATACCATACGATCTACCAGTGTGGTAAAACCTGCAATATGTGATACACAAGTTTTATTTCCAGTTGTCAAAACTCATTACTGGTTCAATTTTGGTAAGGATTTGAATCAGTAAAAGACGAGTTAGTGAAATAGGTCTATGTTATTTATAACCATTCCACTATATCATGTATATGATGATACACACAATTATGCAACTTGACATAAAACATTATAATAAGAACACTAAGGCTTCCTGTATAGGCTGAATATGCCATGGTATAGAAGTTAATTATGTCTTTAAAGGAAGCTAATCTTATTTATACAAGGATGGTTTTCTCATTGACAATCATACCACATCTCCACATTTATTTTGTAATAAAAAAGCTAACTATGATCTTCAATTATTATACGCAGTTGGAATAGTGTATCCCCATCACAGAAAATTCACCATACGATAACTTCAATTGTTACGTTTTTGCAAACCGTTTCGTGTGTACAAAACTCTTTTCGTGTCAATTGATAGGTTGGTAGCACTATGTGTAAAATGATAGCATACCGAATGTGAATGTACGTTTATAATGATAAGCATGGCTGTTAAAGACCTAAGCATGAAAAGAGTAAATAGTTTTACAGAATGATAGCAATTTGCTTCTCAATCAATTCTCCTCATCTTCATTTGGTTGCAGTCTATTCTATTATATATAAAAAGTTTAAAGGAACATTTTGTAGGAAGAACAGGTACAACGATAATTCTGTAATGCAGACCTAAAAGGAATAGATTTTAAATTTGGCGATCATGATAATTATAATAATTATAGTTTCGAAATTGACAGTTTTGATCAATACACGTCATTGCTTATATTGTACCCTAGGTACAGATGGCCTATCCGTATCGGACCCACGACATTTATGAAGTTTTATTTTTCCTTTTTTGGCAGAACTTTGTCTTTTTTTTTTGGAACGCATGAAATTTATAACGTGTTGTTTTCATTTTTTTTTCAAAGCATTTCAACTTCGTAAATGATTTGACCTTCCAACTGTTCAAGTACAACTGATGGCGTTCGAAAATATGAGCCTGACATATTAGACGAGTTTTAATATTTCCATACTCACATAAAACATAACCGTTGCTATTCTCTCCCCAGATTCATTTGTATCAGGTCCTGATGATTTGCCGGCTGCTTCAAACTGCATAAAAAAGAAGTATTGCATGTAAAATGCTTACAAACTCATCAATAAGGTTTGCATACTACATGTATGTTATATATTAAGTCTTCCATAATGCAAACATAAGAAAACAATCTGAAGAGAATAAAACAAATGTCTTAATAGAAATCGATAACCATGTAGTAGTTCTGACTTCATTTCTGTTCAACATTGTATTTTTACTTTACAAAACCGTGGGCATATAGCATTTCAAAGTGATATAAGATGACAAGGGGAGAATAAAAATTCAGAAATCAAAGAAAATAGTCAATACCATGACCAACAAGCTAGTTAAGAAACTTGACGAAAAGACAAGCGATTGCCTAAAACATTACATATAAAACTAAACAATGAACAGCAGGGATACTGCAAAAACGCAAATATTACATAATAGACAGTCAACAGATAGATGCTTAACAGAATCGATGTACAGTCTTCTTTTTAAAGATTAAACATTGTAATAGATAAATGTTAAAATAAAGAGACATGATATGATTGTCAATGGGGCAAAACCGCCTCGATGGTCTCGTGGTAGAGTGTTCGCTTCGAGTGCCGATGATCGTGGGTTCGAACCCCGGCCGGGTCAAACCAAAGACTTTAAATTGGTTTTTGCTGCTTCAACGACAGCTTGACCATACCAGACCCGTGAACAGGTCTGCCTTTTAACCTGTCCTTCGAACATGTCTGCTATTTGACAAACCAGTCATGTCAGTCATGGAGACAGGTCTGCTTTTCAATCGGTCCTTTGGATATATATTTTTTTACTTGTTCATACATGTATGTGATAATAACCAAATGATATTCATCAATCAAAGCGGTCCTGTTTATTAGTTAACTTAGGATCATCTTAAATTCATTTTGGAGAAAACTAAACCAAACTTAACTGTGATTGGAAGAGGTCTGGGTCGGACAGAGCAGTCTAGATTAATGACTGCGTTTAAAAGCAGAATTGGGCACAAGTTAACTTGGGTATAGAACTGGTTGTGGCGATGTTAACTTCGTCCAGAGTTAACTTCAATATTGGACCTGTCATATAGTTAACTTTTCGGGCAGTCATAAAAACAGTTATAGGACCCAGTCTGCTTTTTACCATTTTTTTATTGACTAATCACAGTGCCCGTATTAGGGCAGAATAATTAGAGTTTAATTATGACTACAAGACAAAACGTACAATACTAAACATGATTTAAATGGTTCAGTTGATTAAAACATTGAACATATATATAATTATTAAAGAAAAGAATTGGTCAACATTTTGACATAAAAAATTCAGCCTGACTTAGTCTGACTAATTAATACCTTCATAAGACCAGAGAAACTATATATACTGGCGAATAAAAACTAGCAATATGGATACCGCTTGGAACTCAAAAATATCATACAATAATAAAAATAATAATAAAAAAGGGGGGACAGCTCTTACGGCAATTATTCATTAGTGCATCTCTTTCTTAAGACAGTTGTTTTAAAAGTTTATGAATTATATAAATGATGTCTGTGTCTTCATTGCTTAAAATCCAAATTATTTTGTTTTCATCAGAAAGTTTAATAAAACTCTTATTATTATTGAATAATTGATCAAAATATGGTTTGTGTACTGTTGTTAAGCATGGGCGTTGAATTAAAAAATGGATTTCATCTTCAACAGAACTTTTACATTGATTAAATTTTCTATTACTTATATCTATGTTTTAAGTTAAAATGAATTCTGTCCTAGGACCTGTCGGAGCAGTCATAAATCATGTTCCAAGTTAACTTTCACTAGTCATAAAGTCTGGTAATCAAGATAACAAGCTGTACAGGTTAGGAATATACAAATCAGTAATAACCCCAGCCTAACAAATTGTTTAACAATTAAAAACCAAAACCAAAAACCTGTAACACTCGATATTTCATATTTGTAGATGAAAACAAATAAAAGTATTTTCAATTAAAGGTTAAATATAACTTGCAGGGACAGCTGCATGTAAATAAATTAAAGACGTCAATAAGATATAAATATGTCAACCAATAAGTAATCTTTAATCAAATTCTGATTAATGTATGAAAGAAAATAAAGACATTGAATCAAATATAGTGATCCTGAATAAGACAGTGAATTTTAAAGTTGAATTATATAAAAAAAAAATAAAAAATACAGCGCATTCCTCACCATTGCATCCAGATGTGGTCTATACATTCCACCTACTCCATAATTTACTACCTTTTAAGCATAAAATAATATATATTAATTAATTTCTATGATTATAAAACAGGTCATTCTAAATAAAAACTTAGGCCATTACTTATCGTAGAAGAGTCATTTGAAGATTTAAAATGTGACAACATTACTTGAGTATTTCTCTATTAGTTTTAATTTGGGCACTCCTCTGTAATGAGGGAGAAAACAAAAACAATAAAAACACAGCAGCAGCCGGTTGTACGAACGTGGCATTAGCCTAATGGATCTTTAAGTCTTCATTAATCCTTTATGATGCATTAGGCTAATGAAGACTTAATGACACGTTCGTACAACCGGCTGCAGTACGATAAAGCAGTACTGGTTTAGCAGTATCTGATGGCCATAACATAGCACATACGTTCACTCTCCTTTTTTATTTAATTGTTGTGTTTAATGAATTGATGTTTGTCTTTTTATATCTTTACATCTTAGTCATAGTGTTGTCTGTATTTCTTTGATTAACGGTTTCTGATAGCATTTCTAGGTGTGTTACTTGTGTGTGTATGAATGTAGTCTGCTATATCGACTTTATTTAATAAATTAATTTTTTTCTAAACTAATCTGCAGTGTTCTTATAGATTAAAACATGTTCTGTTCCACATTGGTTGAGGTATCTTTCCGAGACTCTCATATGAGCTAGAGGCATGTTAAATTGATAGATGTTGCAAAAACTAGCATCATCGTTACCCTCCATTATCATTAAGAAAAATTTCAAGTTATTATAAACAAAGCAAACCAATGGATTTTGCCTAGAGCTTTGATATGTTACGAGCACAGGTTAAAATATCACATATTTCAAATGATATGTTTTAACAGGGGCTATGTGATAGAATTGAGAATGGAATACGGTGAAGGTGTCAAAGAGACAACAACCCGACCAAAGAGTAGAAAACAGCTTAAGGCTACCAATGGGTCTTCAATGCAGCGAGAAAATCACGCATCCGGAGGCGCCCTTCAGATAACTTTTTTGTAACATAGTTCATATTTTAAAATATGCTAATGTATTTTCCAATACTTAGTATCAGAAACCAAGCCAGTGGTTTAGAAAGCAATGCTCATGCTGTTGCCCTTCAAATAATTGGTATTTTCGGCCTATATTGGCCACCTAAATTTTTAACACACCTGATATTGTTCTGTGTTGCTGAATCTTTCTTTATATTCAGTTTCAAGTCCTGTTATCATTTTCACACGTGATGTTATTCTTTTGAGTATGGGATATTGAATGTCAGATAACCATGCACTAAATTGAAACAAAAACAATTGATAAAAAAAATATACATTAGATGTTTTGTTTTTACGTTTACGAGTATTTCTTTCTCCGAAACAGTCACGACGTTGCTTTGCTGAACTTACTGATAAGTCAGCGGCGCATAGCAGATACGACGTTACAACTGTTTCGGAGCTGGACAAGAGTCTGCACCTTACTCTAAAATATGTGTGCGATGATGTTTGCTGTTTGGTCGATTCTTCTGTAGTCATGCTGTTTAATACATGAATGTATAGATCTTTCTTCACGGTGCAATTTTATTCATTTTTCTCCTGGTCTTATCAACATAATCTTTTTTTTATTATGATATGAAATAAAAAAATTGTAAATTCATATGATGGGTTAAATATTACTGATGGCTCTTTTTAGCATTTGTTTTACAAATATCTTGTAGTGGGGTAAATGATGCTCAGTCTTCGTTGTCTGGATATTGGTTGATGGAATATTCAATTGTTTTGATTATTCTTTAGAGTTATTTCTCTCATTATGGGGATGCTTCACAGTGATTACTTTTTCAAGATAATATCCAAACACAAAAACAATGATAAAACTCCTATAAGGAGGTAACTGACGATTTCGGGTATTTGAATTATTTATAGATTTTGTTCAGCCTGGTCGTTTTTACTGTTATGATTTCACTCTATTTTTTTTTTTTTTTTTGTGATAATAGCCACAACACCAAAATTGACAACAATCGCCTTCTATTAGGAGTCGATTGACGACTCGAAGTATTCATGGGTCTTACTGATCATTTCGCTGGTTACAGTTTCTCTTTTTCTACTAATGTTTTGATAAAGAAAACGTAAAAAAGGGAAAGTTGTCATTGAACGGCAATAACTCATTTAAGTTGTCGAATGACTATTTCGGCTACATGTCACTTTTTGTAGATCTTGTCCAGGTGATTATTTATACTGTTACCTACTAAGTTTAAAGTTGATAACCAAACCCCAAAAATGGAAAAACAATCGTTGTGTAACGGCAAAAACTGCTACACGTATAAGGAGTCAACTAACTTGTTGTTTGTAGATCTTATCTTGTTGATCATATTTTCAACATTATGAGTTTCTCTTAATGTATTTATTTTTCAGAATGATAGCAAAAAATGCAAAATATAAGTAAGAAATTGTGATTTAAGGGAGTGGTTTGAACATTTGATTGAAATGGACAATGGGTAGATCTTGACTTTTTTTTTGCTTCAGACTTTCGGTATTTTTCGTACAGGATAGTAGTTGGCAAATAGATATAAGAAGATGTGGTATGAGTGCCAATGAGACAACTCTCCATCCAAGTCAAAATTTATAAAAGTAAACCATTATAGGTCAAAGTACGGACTTCAACACGAAGCCTTGGCTCACACCGAATATCAAGCTACAAAGGGCCCCGAACATTACTAGTGTAAAACCATTCAAACGGGAAAACCAACGGTTTAATGTATATAAAAAACGAAACGAGAAACACTTATGAACCACACCAACAAACGACAACTACTGAACATCAGATTCCTGACTTAGTACAGGAGCAAACAATTGCAGCGGGTTTAAACGTTTAAATGGTACCAAACCTTCACCCTTATCTGAAACAACAGTGTAACATCACCACAACATAGAAAGTATGGTTAAGATTGGCCAGGTAGTTCCAAAAGGACGAAGACCTATACTATGGGACCCCTTAAGCAAATTGAGGTTAAATGTAAATAAATATTTGTTTGAAATTTGATTTTTTAAAGATCCTCTGAGTTGATTGACACAAAAACATCCACTTCTAGTTAGGGAGCATCGATGGCAAAGTGGTCTAAGCAGTCGAACTACTATATCACTAGCATGTCAACACTGAAGTTGAGAGTTCGAATCCGGCACGTGGCAGATGTGTTTTACTCTAATTTTAATTGACTAGGACTGTCAGTTTTCCTACCAAAGGTCTGCGGTTCTCTCTGGGTACTCTGACTTCCTTCAACAATACAAACTGACCGCCACCAAATAGTGCAAAATCTAGTGGCGTTAAACATTAACCAATCAATCATCAATCCACTATTAGTTTTATATATCAACCATCCTTACGTCATACTTATTCTATTTTCAGCTACTTTCATGGTTCCTTTACTGAGGTCTTCAAGAATTGTAGATCGTGTCATCTAAGAAATAAGAAAAACAATTATCTGGTACTAGTCATTGATTGCTATCTGCCTAATTTTTTTTCGTTTATCGTAGTATAGAATTGTCATTTAAGGGGAATAACTGATATTATAAGTCAACTGAGTATTTCAGCCATGTAACTCATTTGTAGACGTTAATAATAAATTGTTTTTAAATTGTAGTTTCTATCTAAATATTATACTTAGTAGTTTTCAAATGATAACCAAAGCGAGTGAAATTATTGAAAAATTGACATTTAAGGGCAACTACTTCTAGAAAGATTAACTTTCTTTTAGATCTGGTAGGATCTGCTTACCCTTCCGGAGCACCTGAGATTACACCCGGTTTTTAGTGGGGTTCATGCTGCTCAGTGTTTAGTTTTCTATGTTGTGTTTGTATACTGTTATTGGTCTTTTCCTTTTTTTGCCATGGTGATGTCAGTTTTTTTTTCGACTTATGCGTTTGAATATCCCTTTGGTATATTTCGCCTTTCTCTAACGGACGCCATTATGATTAAGTTGACCGTTAATATTGAATTTCTGTAAATACGACTTAACACAGGATGAGCAACATGACGGGTGTTAATAATGTAGCAGGATATGCTTACCTGTCCTAGATAAGAGATCAGAAATTGATTAACTGTTTTTTTCTTTTATCGTGGTATAAATCAGGCAGTTTGTTTGCGTCATCATTCATTGGGTCTTGTATCAGTTTTTTTTCACTGTTGAAGGGCATTGAATTGTTAATGTTCACATCTTTGTCACTTGGTCGTTATGGCTAGGGGTCGGATTGGCAATATACCAGTATCTCCTATGCTTGTGAATAAATGGTTTTATTCCAAAACCACGTTTCATGCCAACTTAAATTTGTGCTTCTTTTTGTTATTGTTTGAGTGTGTAAACGCGTTGACCGAAGCACGTTGTGTATGAAGCGCGGGTGCTAAAAATGTGCACACAATCTAACACTTTAACACCCTATAAAATTAAAACAAAAGAATAGAAATAAGAAGATGTAGCATGAGTGCCAATGATACAACTCTCCATCCAAGTCACAATGTGTAAAAAGTAAACCATAATAGGTCAAAGTACGGCCTTCAACACGGAGCATTGGCTCACACCGAACAGCAAGCTATAAAGGGCTCCAAAATGACTATTGTAAAACAATTCAAACAGGAAAACCAACGGTCTAATCTATATAAAAAACGAGAATCGAGAAACACTTAAGAACCACATCAACAAACGACAACTCCTGAAACAGGTTCCGGACTTAGGACAGGTGCAAACAAATGCAGCGTGTTTAAACATTCTATTCTTGTAATCATATATGCTACGAGTTATATCAAACGTATGCATTGTTGTGGCGTTATCATTTGAAGCATGTGCAGTCATGCTTCAAATGATGATGCAGGCATGAATGCTGCATTTTACTGAGAGATAAAATATAGTTTTGAATTGCTTGCGATTTTTGTCAGTCAATCTTAAGAACACATTCTTACGAAAAATACATGTAATGTACGTAATTATCAAGAGATAGGTAAAGCATTCTGAGATCCTTGTGTAATAAAAGATAAAGTAAAGTAAATAATATATGTGTGCAAGTATGCAAGCAACGGAAAAGATATGTATGTGTGATTTTAAACATATAAAGTACTATAACTCCATCAACAACATCCGATTTTGTCCAGCAGCTAGGACCTCGAAATAAAACAAGTATTCAGATACTGCTACCGTCTTAAGAAAGGCCGCGATTGGTACTAGTAAGTCTTTTTTCAAACAATGAATACATCAAAAAAAGTGTTGTCTTTCTTAATTAATAAAGGAGAGATTTGAAAATGTTTAAATGAATTAGTGTATTATGTGTTGAGTTCTTATTAAAATCACTTAAATTTGCCATGATAACCATGGTTCTTAATTTTCACTCACCTTTTCGCTGCTTGTATTCCGTAAATAGTCCACTTCATTGTCTGATATTACGTCGTGAAATAAATATATATTTGGCTTTATATTCGCCAATTCAGCTTTAACGCGAAAAATTGGAATATCAGTCGTCTTGTAGAAGCAAAACAGCCTAGATAAATGTCTGTGACTCTGAAAACGTTAGAAAAAAAACAAGCAAACAAATAGGATAGTCGTATTCCACGATATCTATTTTTCAATTCACTAGTAGCTATGTTACAGTGAATTTGTAAAAGGGATTTTGTAAAATCACTGAATTGATTAGTGATTACTTAAAATCACTAAAAAAATCCATAATTACAAGATAGTTTGTCATTACAAGATAATATTACAGATTGACTATTAATTTTACATACTACATGTATCTATATGTTGTGGGTAAAAATCACTTTATAGCATATTAATAAGACAACACTTATTTGATTTTAAACTTTCCTTTGGACTGATCAAACATGTGAGAAATCTACGATGATAATAATTGACTTGTTTCGAAATTTTGTGTCAGAATAATATGCCTAGGGTAGGGTGACATGTCTTCCTGTGGACTTTTTCAATGTGAACTAGCATTTTTATATTCTGCTTGATCAGCGTATCGATCGAGCACAACAGGGACATATTAACATCACATTAATATATTCTCGTCCGGATATGCCTTCTGATACTTGCCACTGGATGACACGACCTAAACAAATCAATTTCTAAAAAGTAAAATAACAAAAATACCGAACTACAAGGAAAATTCAAAACGAAAAGTCCCTTATCAAAAGGCAAAATCAAAAGCTCAAACACATCAAACGAATGGAAAATAACTGTCATATTCCTGACTTGGTACAGGCATTCCCTTATGTAGAAAATGGTAGATTAAACTTGTTGCTTACGGAGTTTTTTTTTTTCTTACGATTGTTATCATTTCAATGAACCGCCTTAAGTTTATATTTGATTTTGAAAATAGATAGTTTATTGTATACTTTTCAGCAATTTCAGACTGAAGCACTAAACATTAACTCACTTTTAAATAAGACAGTAATATGAGCTTGTTTTGTATTTTTTTTTGTGGGTTTTTGTCAATATGTTCCGTAATTTCGTTTATTTTCAAATTTGTTCTCACCTTGTATTAATTAAATAGGACATGTTCAGTGTATGACACAAACATTCCATAGAAGTGACTTTTATAGGGTGATGGTTTTACTTACACTTAAGTTTAGATGTACTTCCTCCTAAATAAAGCTACAGATTTTGTAAATATCAATGTATATACAGATGTTTAATTCTAAATTCTAAAGGGGGATGTATCTAAGAAATGAAGAACGTACCAGTATCAGAATCTAATGAATTCTGGGTAATGTTTGCAAAAGCATACACCAAAACGTTGTGATTGGTTTAAAACATTCTAAACAATTGAAATTCAACCAATGACGTAACGTTATTTTCATTTTGGTGTACGAACAATGAGATTACTCATAGTGCTTTAGATTCTGAAAAGGCGTAATAAGTAAATAGCTTACCTTCATAATCCTTCTACATAAAGTTTTATATTTTCTTATCATATCCTCCTCGTAGAAGATCCTCGTGGTTGGAATAATCATTATAATATTTGTATTTGGTTTTTCTAAAACCGTCACATTGTCCAATATGCTATTTGCTCTTGATTCGAAGTACTTAAAATCATTCTGGAGTCTTTTATTTTCTGGTTCTAGAAGAAAACAGATATCTATGACAATATATAAGATGTAAAACATAATTACACCCAAAATCTTCATAAGAAGCTATGTTCATAAGGCTTTTTCAAACATATATGTATCGTTTGCATAATTATTCCGATGATAACAAAAGTAACGGACCAAAAGGTAAATTAAAAAAGGTGGAAGTTCATAAAAACAGACTAAATCAAACGTTAGACTTTATCAACCAACGGACTGCAAAACAACTGTAATGTATTGGTAAAATATGGATCTGATTTCCACGGAGCATAACATCATGTTGGAATCGGATCCAGATTTTACTTACATACCATTAGAAACGTTTCATCAATTGCTCCTCTGGATTCGGATCCTTCTGTAGTGTCGGGATACCGGGTGTGTTACAGCTGGGAACAATATATCTAACGGGAAATGAATCTGATAGGCTTTTCAGTATAAAATTGATAAAATCTCGAACTTTACGAGACTTCGCGAGATTTATGGATTTTGGAAGCGTCTAACTGAAAAACTATCGGAACTGCTCAATAAATTAACCACATAATTCCAAACGTTCAACAAATACAATTAATTGGTCAGTTTTATCGTAAAGTAGATATAAATGTCCCTGGTAACAGGATGAAATTTATATGATAAAATTTGCACTTTTAAAATCACAGCTAGTGGATGTTAATGAAGTATCGCCTCCTTTTTTTTCCCCCTTTTCATTTGAAACATTTATTTTTTTTTTTCATCATTTTAAACAGTTAATGGTCATTTCAACTTGAACGATTATCATTGGAGGACTGTAGTAATACTTCTACGATTTTGGTGTCAGACCACCGATTCAAAACCCACATACAATCAACCAAATTGTTCGATGTTCATAGCTTTCAAAAGACATTTAATTGCGTATAACATTACAAAGATCTGATACCTTCTTTAGCACGTTCCTTCAAAAGTTCTACCGACTTCCATGGCATGTTATTCTGAAAAACAGAAACATGTTTTTTCGGTTATGAAGGTTTTATAAGACAAGGCGTGAGAATACGAACAAAAAGGGAAAAGTTTAACACTAAATTCTCATTTGTTCTCATTGGCACTCATTGGTTTTCGTTGGTTCTCATTGGTTCTCATTTTAAGTACAGAGAAAAGAATAAAAAAGTACACTATATTTTACTTTAGTACCATGGCTTTCTTATGAGAAAAAAAACCTAAGCGCTAAAATGTATATATTTGCAATACAAAAATGTCTGAATATATATAAATATAAGGAGATGTGGTATGATTGCCAACGAGACAACTATCCACCAAAGTTCAAATAAAGTGGATTTAAGTAATTACAGGCAACCGTAAGGCCTTCAACAATGAGAAAAACCCATACCGTATAGTCGGCTATAAAAGGCCTCGACATGAAAAATATGAAATAATTCAAATGAGAAAACTAACGGCCTTATTTATAGCAAAACAATTTACAAAAAACTCATTTGACAGACGTCAACCAACGACAACCACTGAACTACAGGCTCCTGACTTGGGACAGGCACATAAAGATTGTGGCGGGGTTAAACATGTTTGTGAGCGCTTAACCCTCCCCTAACCTGGGACAGTGGTGTAACCGCACAACATAAGAACAAACTATAAAAATCAGTTGAAAAAGGCTTAACTCGCCAGATTGATACAAAGAAAAACATCAAGCAAAAACACAGACAGGACGTGGCAGGGTATATATCCATCCCTCATCCCTAGCAACAAAAAAGACACTAAGTACAGATCTGAGAGTACTCGCAGTTACTGACAGCTAGTTCAAAGCCAATAACAACTAATAAAAAAAATCATGTATCTAAGACTAAAATATCAATCAGTACACATCCAACATCCAATGGATTTAGTGGAAAGACGTCATTAACAGTCAGAGAAAAACATGATCTTGTGTTTAAATGACAACAAATTATGTTTGTAATAAGGTTTTCGAGTTTGTATGGAAAGAAAATCCAAATTAACGGTAAACTTTCTAATGGCACAGTATCTTCATAAATGTGAGAATACACGACCAAATGAAATCTTTAATAAATTTGTCAAAATCTAACGCAATTCACCAGATAGACTATACATAGTTATGTTCCTAAATATTTACCCTGTTATAAGCAGAGGCGATCATTCTAGACAATTTTGTTTTATCCACAGGGCTGTTAGGTAAGGTCCCGTCTTCAATTTCATGCAACAACGCTTCTAGAAATGTTATTGAATTATAACTGTTTTGTGCATCTTCTGCTTTGTTAGCAATGTAAATGACCTCCAAAGGGGTCAAAGGTTCGGTTTGGTACTGTAACAAAAGGTGTTTTGAATATACATGAAAATATTACCATATTTCTAGCAATAGTAACTGCTGGTTAAAACAAACCGGGTATTGTATAAATATGATATGCTTCCGCTAAGGAGGCTCGTAACTCTGATTTTTATTTGCATTCACATTATAGAATCCGTGACAACTTTCGGGATTTTAAATCACGTCAATAAGTTCATAAACACCTTCAAAATTAATTTAAAAAGCAATCAGATAAACAAAATTGTCGGGGAAAGTATTTATCCATTCCTATAGCTATAATTGAAAAGAAATTTAACAGATAGGTGACTGATTCCTTTCTGAATTTTTGGTCCTCAATGCTCTTTAACTTTGTCCATTATTTAGCCTTTTACGTTTTTTTTCGAACGTCACTGCTGAACCTTTTGTAGACCAAACGCGCGCCTATCGTACCAAATTATTAGCAGAAGACTCTTGGTAAAGAAACTTACATGTTTTTAGTTTAGACCGTTGTTTTTCTTGTTTGAATTGTTTTACACTAGTCATTTTGGGGCCCTTTATAGCTTGCTGTTCGGTGTGAGCCAGGGCTCCGTGTTGAAGGCCGTACTTTGACCTATAATTGTTTACTTTTTATACATTGTGACTTGGATGGAGAGTTGTCTCATTGACACTCATACCACATCTACCTATTTATATTTTATGATCATGCTATTATAGAAATCGTCACATATTCCAGGCTTAAAACATAAGACTCGCGTTTCAGCAACATACAGCTCGCCAGTGCCGCTTAAATAAGCAACACACAGCTCGCCAGTGCCGCTTAAATAAGCAACATACAGCTCGCCAGTGCCGCTTAAATCAGCAACATACAGCTCGCCAGTGCCGCTTAAATCAGCAACATACAGCTCGCCAGTGCCGCTTAAATCAAAAAAGTTAGAATGGCAAATCAATATGTTGAGTTGAGGAACGTGCAGACCAGTTGTTACGGTAACGTTCGTACTATTGACCAACGAAAACACAATTATTTATCAATTAATTATTTTGCTTTCAAAATGACTATCACAAGTATAAAATTATGTCTGCAAAATTTAACATATTTAAAATTGAGTAGAAACGGGAAATGTGTCAAAGAGACAACAACCCGACCAAAGAGTAGAAAACAGCCTAATGCCACCAATGGGTCTTCAACACAGCGAGAAAATCCCGCACCCGGAGGTGGGCTTCAGCTGGCCACTAAATAAAAATGTGTGCTAGTTCAGTGAAAATGGACGTCATACTAAACTCCAAAACTAATTATTTTGTTTTCCTGGTCCAGACAAAATGACACTCGCATGTTTGAAATTATGTCAATTTAGGAAAAAATTGAAAACTCATATCCTAAGTTAAGTAATTTAAAACATATGTCACTGCTGCATACTCTGCTTTGTAATGTTTATGATACCAGGTCTCCTTTTCACCAAAAAGTCTTACAACTTAAATTGATAGTAAGTCATGAACAATTAAATACTAACGAACATTTTAGTCATAATATTTTTTTTTGTGAAACAAAGGACAAGCCTACAACACACGTGGTTTGACTGCACCATTTGCGTTTATAAAATACTTTCCATATTTGGTAAGAACTATAATGTCGTTGCATAACCATCATGAGGGTCTAGATGGAGGGTCTGTATTCTTAAATTTTTTATGTCATTTTTCTTTATCTTTAAAAGTAACCCTCATTCTGTAAATTTCTCAATTATTAAATATTTTTCTGTAATAAGACGAATTTCTTTATTATGTATATCGTTCATTTTTGTGATCAGTATAATATTGTCTAATTCTTTAATTTTCCCCAGTTATTCTTAATACTTTTGCACCCCACTATTCTCTATTCTTTATACTTTTTTCTAATTTTCCTTATTCATTATTTTTTTGAGACATTATTCTCTATTCTGTAAACCCCATCCAGACCCTCCATCATTGATTTCTGTGTATAAAATACGACAAATAATAATGTCTTAAGACAACAAAGGAACTCCCAAGGCATATGCTTGCACTTTGAAATTCAATTAAAAATTCTCTGCAAAAAAACCCAACTAAAATTAAGAAATAATTCAAATTTGTAAATTTTAATTTTATGAAATAGGTTTTAAGAAATTGTAAATTGATAATTTGAAATGGAAGCAAAATCGATAATTGGAAAGTTATTCGCTATTTGATATACATTTGTGATAATATTCCGCATTTCTATAGAAATATCACTAAAACTAGTTTATTGAACATCACAAAATTAATGTAGATAAATTTTACAAATGGTTTTAATATATTCAATAAACAACAGATGGCATTTTTCAGTGATCGTTTTGTTGATAAAATACACTTACTTTGAATACCACCGACGACAACGTGGCTTAAATCTAATGAAATACCTTGAATATCTTTCCATGTAAAAAATCACGCAAATCGAATTCATACACATCCCAAAGACGGAATATGGCTTCTACCGTGGCATCCAAATCACTTCGTTGTGGCCATCCACCAAGACGACTCTCAATGATACTCCGACTTGAATTAAATTCTAGAAATAAGTATTACTCAATCTAATTAAAATATAGTTCTCTGATTTCGTCATACTCATATGAGTTTATATGTATGAGCACGCGAGTTAATACATTTGCATAGATCTGAATTTTAATCAGATTGAAGTATTGCAGTGCCTTTTAAAAATATTGTCCTATGCCTTTCATAAATATTGTCTAAAACAATGGAATAAACTATCTTTAAATCTCTTTTCAAACGGTTTTATAATTACATTACATGTATATTTCGAAAGAATCCGTACTTTTGATTGGCTGACAACAATCACTTGACATTTCAAAATTAAATTTCATTTCTCAATAGAAAGCATTATGTAACAGCGTCAAGAATGATCGTTCGCACATTTTTAGTTAAAAGTGCTTCGGTCAACGCTTTTACACCCCGCAAATTAAAAAAAGAAGCATTGAATTCTTAAATAAAACCGTCTTTTGTGGGTATAGATGGACAACAGCATAACGTATTATCCAGTTGGTAAAATGCATGCTATTATTTTGATGTTGATTCAGATACATTATAACTTTACACAAATAAAGGCAACAGTAGTATACCGCTGTTCGAAATTCATAAATCGATTGAGAAAAAAACAAATCCGGGTTACAAACTAAAACTGAGGGAAGCACATCAAATATAAGAGGAGAACTACGATACAACAGAAACGCAACATTTAAATGTAACACACACAGAAACGAACTATAATATAACAATGGCCATTTTCCTGACTTGGTACAGGACATTTCAAGAAAAAAATGGTGGGTTGAACCTGGTTTTGTGGCTAGTCAAACCTCCCGCTTTTATGGCAATGTTAGATATAACATTAAAATGACAACATTACATGACAGGACTACAATACAAATAAATGGGAGAACATATAGGACAGAGAAACATACGAATAATAGCACAAAATATTCAATTTAGTTGTTTAATTTTATTTTGATGTAAATTATAAATCATCCGTTTCCACAGGTGATATTGAACTGGTTATGATATCATTTTGGAAATACTTTTGGCTTAGCGCTCTAATCATAATTCGGTACTTTTCATATGAGGATTATTTGGTTCCGAGCACTACTGACAAAAATTAGTACATTCAGGCTGATATAGAATATGATTTACTCTAGTTATCTTGTGAATTTAAAGTATGAAAGACAGGATGGTTGACTTTTGGTTTAAGATGGGTACAGCACACATAAAATTGTAGTAAATTATCATATAAATGGTCATTTCTAGTTGATTAAAAACAGAATGAAAATGATAACTCAATCCCTAACCTATTTCTGGTTCATCAATTGTACATTCTGAACACAATGCAATGTCGAAACATTTCTGCCAGTCGTCAACCCATCTTTTCAGTAAGTGGAAGGCATCTATCGGGCTGTGTATGGGTTTTGCATCTTCAGCAATCTTTTCCGTAGTTTTCAGAAATCTTTTAAAATACAAAATTGGCATATGAATTCAATTATACGCAGAGAATATTTGACGTCAGCGGGTCGAGCCATCCTATCCAATTTGAATAAATTAACAAAATATGAGCAATGGAAAGCCTACTTTTTACAGTTTAACAATCTGGGTAACATGTAGTGATCTAAGAAATTTCAACACATTTAAAAAAAGTTTAAATGAAATCATTTTTTTCATACTAATGAGAAAATCAGTATTTCAGGGTTAATTAACGTTTCAATTAAGATTAAAAGTTTCCACAGGATTTTTATTCTTTATCTTCTCTTCTTGTGATCGTTTTTGATTCTTTAGAAATAGGTCTGTGAACATTATATAATTATATAGGATAGCATTCTGGCTTTAGTTTGTATCTTTTTGAACATGGTTTCAAATTGGTAGTCAGATATTTTGGCCTAGAGTACGGGAGCTAGTAAGTCTGAGATTGATTGATTGATTTGTTGGTGTTTAACAGCACTTTCAGCACTATTGCGCTATTTCGAGGCGGTCAGTTTTTATTGATGGAGGAAGCCGGAGTGCCCGGAGAGATCCATTAACCTTCGGTAGGAAAACTGACATTCCTAGTCAATTAAGGTTGGAGTTGAAAGCACCTGCCATGTGCCGGAATCGAACTCACAATCTCGGTGTTGATAGGCTAGTGATACAGTAGTTCGACTACTTAGACCACTTGGCCACCGAGGCCCTAGTAAGTCTGAGATGCTGGCTCACTTTACATGAAGAGGATGTTGGGCCAGGATGCCAGGCCTAGGGATGTAGTACGTTCGACTTCTGCCAGGGTACAACCAAAGATTCTGAAAAATTATTTGGAATCCCTTTAATCATGCGACAGTTAATAGTTAAGAGCAAAGAACGGTAGGCCAAAAGTCAAGCGATGCTGAGAAATTGATGAATTTCGAAAGTGTTTTTATAATATATTGTTCACTATTCCTTTCAGTTGCAGTATATATCATAACATCAATGATCCCAATGATGTTTTGGTTCAAATATTCTTAAATTTTGTGTATGTTTGACTTTTCCAAACGGAATGATTGATTGATTGATTGATTTGTTGGTCATTATTCTCACTTTCAGCACTATTGGGCATATCATGGCGGTCAATCCAAGTCAATTAAGATTAGATTCGAACGCACCTGCCACGTGAGGGGTTCGAACTCACAAAGGCAGTGTTGACAGGCTGGTGAATGAACTACTAGGACTATTCGGTCACCGAGGCCCCAAGTGTAATGATTAGAGTTACTGAAAACAACTATAGGGGTCTTTCGCACTGAACTTCGTTTCTTATGTTTATAGTTATTTCAATAATATTTGAACGTAAATTAAGCCCATATTGGGTCCTTTCTTTGTATATATTTGTCACTCTTAGCAATAAATATTTCGTAGAAAAAAATATAAATGAAACAGTGGTATATCTTAAAAGAAATAAAACGATTGTTGCAATTGAAATTTCAACAAAAACTGAAAAAAGAAACAATTAAAAATATAATAAATTTGAAAATAACTTTATTTAACTTAAAATTTGTACAAGCTTTAAAATGTGAAATACAAACAATACATACATACGCTTATAAAAAGGTCTATTTACGATATGTATTTACATTTATATTCATAATTCTAACTTATTTAATATATTTTGGTTTACCTTAAAGCATTTTTATTTGCATTTAACTAGTTTTGATAGCAACTTAACTGTACGCCAACTTGTTGAATATACAGTGATGAGTTAATATTACATGTTTATGATCCCTGAACTATTATACAGTATTATAGGTGCCTCACTCTTTCAGAAATCCGTCAATACTTTGTCCCTCGACCTCCTGTTCTGCAATAAATCTCTGAAGGGCTGAAATAAGTTTTGATTCGTTTTCGGAAAGTTTTGTCAATGTAAATATAGATGAATAAAAATCCATTAATACAAATCTGAATTTTAAGCTAAACACTGTTACGAAGAAAATTGCGTCAATACGCATCGTAAACTATATTCAAAGATTTTTTTTAAGATACTAGAAATGTATAGCGAGCTTTGATACTGTCAACGCACTACTATGCAGTTCAAACGTGAACAATAATCATAATTTAAAACATTGATCGTACATATTTATACATCTATTCGTTTCATATTTACGATGTCTGTGTTCATGCAACATATGTGACCAGAGTAATAAAAATAATCTTAACTATATCATCTCTGTTATACCAATTAAATTGATAAATACCTAAATAAATATTCATTATTTAAAGAGGATGGCCACACAAGTCATAACTATTCAATCTGAGGGTCACGAAATAAAACGTGCAAATCAATATGAGGGTCTCGATGGGGCTAAACAGAATAGAGAATAATGGACAAAAAATATACAGAATAGAGAAAAATGACCTAAAAAATTAAAGAATACAGAAATGAAAGACACCCCCAATCAAGACCCTCCAATATAATAGTAGTACATTAAATATCATATCATATATTAGAACAGAGAATGGAGAGGGAATGTGTTAGTGACAACAACCCGACCATAGGGCAGACAACAGCGAAAGGTTACCAATGGATCTTCAACGCAGCGAGAAAATACCGCACCCGGAGGCGGGATTCAGCTGACCCCTAAACAATGATGAATACTAGTTCAGCGAATTAGTCACTCCACTAAACTCCGAAATATACAAATGAATCAAAAGTAAAAAAAAAATCTCTTTCCAATTTGGAATAAACCAACACACAGCAATAAGCACAGTTAAACTCAGTATAAAAGAAGTCTGAGTCCGATGTTAGAATAGGTACAATATAACAAAAGAAACTTAACAAAATGACAATGATCAACATAATATAACAAAGGACTACTACATTGTATATACATGTATTCATAATTATCACTACCTGGTACATACACAAGCGAATCACGTACTTTTTTGCCAGCTTTACTGAATAACCAAGGATGAAGCAAACAAATTATTTCTGTTACATAATTGTAATCACTTCATCGGCACTGAAGTGTTTTAATGATACACATTCGGATTCTAATTCTTTAGTAAATGAACGTTTTTATTAAACAAAAGAAAGAAAGTTGCAGCTTGCTTTTAGAAAATATTTGTTGTTTTGTTGTTTAAAATTCTTATTATCTTGGATGTTTTTTTTCTTTTTTTCCTTTATTTTTCTTTAAAATATTTGCTGCAAAGTATGACTAAGTCGGTAATTCTAAAAATACACATTAAGCGGATTACAACTGTCTTGTTTAGCTTGCATGTTTTGATAAATTCTGAGTTATGCGTTGAAAACGTTTCTGCAAATGTGTATCAAAACCGCCTAACATATCATAAAACATATGTGTAAAAAGACTTAAAATGTACACAAGAAAATAATATCGTCTTGTTATAAAACTTTATTCACAATATTTTAATAGCTATTTTGCATTAATTTCTTCCTGTACATTGATTCTAAATGAATAATCTCGAGACATACGTTTCTAGCCATTTTTTTAGTTCCGCCAGTATATTGTATTGATTGTTACGTGTATCTCCCGAACACCAATGTTCATGTACATGTATGTTTATTGATGTGTTATTCCCTTTATTGTTAACCACACCATGATCATTAATAACGTGTAATTCCAACGATCAGTTGTGTTTCAACTCTCTCTGCTCATTGGCGTTCATCAGAACATAAATGTAATGATCTTCCAAAACCACTACCAGACAAATGTTTACATATCTGCAGCAATTTTTCCTATAATTCTGATGACTTATAAAGATGATATTATTCAAATTTTCAATGGAGGACATTAATAATGTTCATCCAATGCACTTATTTGATTAGCTTGATATCTTTCGATGATCTCCGATTCTTTATTGCGCCATGTGTTAAAATGAGAAAGATAATGAATATTACATAACAATAAATCGACTAATTGACAACATATATGTATGATTTAATATTGAAATAAAAAGAAAAATAGATATAAAAGAAAATTGATCATGTAAAAACGCCATTCAAAGACAAATAATGTTTTAAGTGACGTCAATTACTCGATATTTTATGGTATAATGTATCTGTCATTTTATATAACAGACCGCCGCGGTGCGGTATTAAAACAAAATCTAACGACAGAGAGTCAATGTGTACTCCTCGGTAATAATTTAAATCGTCTATCTTTGAATCAAATACTTGAAAAAGATATAAACTGCATCCTAACTGGTTACCAGGAGAACAACTTTTCATCAGCGATAGCGAAGCTGTGTTTTATTTTCAAAAAGACTGGAGTTTTACACAAAGCCAAAGTATGAGGGCAATATTAGGATATGAACACCAAACTCCATTTTTGGCTAAGAACATAGCCCATGCCATACATGGACACACCATGTATTTTAGTAAACAATAACACAAAAAGAGATGGACAGCATATTGCTCGATTGATCATTATTCAGATACAAACAATCAGCAATCCTCGGGTGAATCCGCTACTCTCCGTCTTTGGTCGGAATCGGCCGAGTTGAGACGATTGTGCCCACCAATCTGCTATCTTGCAACATTAACTTAAAATAAACAATTTTGTATGGCATCTACCACAGTAAAATTCGACAACGAAAATATCATATTAAGGTATACAAACTATGTTACAATTTACTATATGAAAGCATTACATTAGAAAAAAAATATCCAACGGCTTTATAGATACATTAGTTACTGTAGATCTTTTAATATATCAAAATAAAATTAAGGGGATGTGGTATGAATCAGATTACAAATGAGACAACTACTCACTAGAAACCAAAAGACACGGTGAAGGCAACTACAGGTCATCATACGGCCTTCAAAAATGAGCAAAACCAATACTGTATAGTCAGCTATAAAAATCCTTCACGATACAAAATGTGAAACGATACAAACGAGAAAATCAACGGCTTGATTTATGTTAAAACAATGAACGAAAAACAACTAATTTATAAAAGTAGACAGCAACGAACACCAAGCACTAAATTATAGGCTTCTGACTTGGAACTGGCTAATAAAGGATATGGTGGGGTTAAACATGTGTATAGCCCTCAAGGGCTCGACACACCAGATCGGCACTAAGAACAAAATAAAATGTAACAATATGACAAAAGACACAAACTACCGATCTAAGATAGAGTATTCGTATCTACTGAAAGCAAGTTCGAAGCCAATTACAGTTTATAAATAAATCATATATTCCAACACTTCAATATCAATCAATCAGTACACAGACAACGGATTAAGTGTTAAGGCATCATAAACATGTCCGAGAAAAGAATTACAATGTGCAATGCCAAATTGCAAGTATCGACTTGGTGCCTTCTGTTTACTTCATGATGCAGCTTTTCTATTTAAAGAAATATAAAAAAAAAAAAAGATCGACGCAAACAAAAAAATAACATTACTCAAAATTAGATAAGTAAGGTATATAAAAATAGTAATTTTTATACATTATTTTAAAATTCCAGTTTTTACTGACTAGTATGAGGGTAAAATTGCGCTATCTCGCTCTAATAGCAAGGTGCTATTTATAAAACATATTTTACTGGCTAATACGATAGTAACATTCTGAGCTATCCCCCTCTGATGGCTAGCGTTATTCATAAAACGTATTTTACTGGCTAATACGAGGATAACATTCTGTTCTATCACCCTCTGGTGGCTAGGCGTTATTCATAAAACATATTTTACTGGCTAAACAAGGGTAACATTCTGCTCTATCACCCTCTGGTGGCAAGGCGTTACTTATAAAACATATTTTACTGGCTAATACGAGGGTAACATTCTGTTCTATCACCCTCTGGTGGCTAGGCGTTATTTATAAAACATATTTTACTAGCTAATACGAGGGTAACATTCTGCTCTATCATCCTCTGGGGGCAAGGCGTTACTTATAAAACATATTTTACTGGCTAATACGATGGTAACATTCTTCGCCATCACCCTCTGGTGGCAAGGCGTTACTTATAAAACATATTTTACTGGCTAATACGATGGTAACATTCTACGCTATTACCCTCTGGTGGCTAGGCTAATTCATAAAACATATTTTACTGGCTAATACGATCGTAACATTCTGCTCTATCACCCTCTGGTGGCAAGGCGTTACTTATAAAACATATTTTACTGGCTAATACGAGGGTAACATTCTGTTCTATCACCCTCTGGTGGCTAGGCGTTATTTATAAAACATATTTTACTAGCTAATACGAGGGTAACATTCTGCTCTATCATCCTCTGGGGGCAAGGCGTTACTTATAAAACATATTTTACTGGCTAATACGATGGTAACATTCTTCGCCATCACCCTCTGGTGGCAAGGCGTTACTTATAAAACATATTTTACTGGCTAATACGATCGTAACATTCTACGCTATTACCCTCTGGTGGCTA